AGGGGAAGTAATGGCAGCAGTGGGGCACGGGCGCGGGCCCCGGTAACGTTTAGCCAGGCGGCGCCGGTGTGTGTACATCCTGCCGCCCTTGCGGTGCGCCACTCTCCGAGGCCTATCCGGGCCCGTCACGGCTACCTCAGGCCTGAGCTGCCGCCCCCTCACAACCCCGGGGCCTGAGGTGAAGGGCGGGGGGCGGCCCTTTGGCCCCGGGCCCTCCACCAGCGGTAATAAATGGTGGGGGTTGTGCGGTCTCCTCTGCAGGGCTGTGCTGCTGTGAGTCCCGCGGCCGCAGCACGTCCCTGACAGGCTGCCGTGGTGTAAGAGGAGAGCTGGCAGCGGGGAAAGGTTCTGGAAGGTGCTGGGGGGCTCCTGGCAGCATGAAAGGATCCTTTGAGAGCGGGGTATTGCCACAGCAGATGCACGCAGGCGCCGCAGTGCCCAGAGCAGGACAATGATGTTGCTAAGTACCAGGAAACGATAAGCAGGCAGGGACATGCGGTTGAGTGGCGGGGGGGGGGGGGGGGGGGGGTAACAAAGCAAGAGAAAGCGGGTTGAGATGGAGGGAACCGCGGTGCTTATGAAGGCCTCCGGGCTCCTCCACCTTTACTGAGGGATTGTGGGCTCTTCCTGCAGTCTGGGGAGGGGGGGGGCTTTGCCTCACTGCGGGCAGTTTGTTCAATGACAAACTGATTCTGGTCAGTGTTTTCACATGCGGCTGCAGATGTTTGTGAGCCATGAGGATTAATGGCTGAAGCTCAGGCAGGTCACACGTTTGATCTGAGGGGTTTGCAACCTCTGCCGCTGGGACACAGATTGCCCTGGTGTTGTCTAACTTTGCCTGGTACACCTGCTTTAGGAGCCGTGGAAGGAACTCCAGGCCTTGGAGGATGCCTGGACCAAGAGACTTTCCTTCTTCACTGTTCAAAGTGAGAGTGCAGCTGTAGGGTGATGACAGTGGGATACATCAAGAGGTGACTAGCCTATTTACAAGGTCAGGACAACACAAGAGGAGATCTGTAGCAAGCAAGGTGTGAATAGAGCTGAAAACCCCCAAATCTGAAGGATTATTTCAATCGGAGATAACCAGGCATTTTTAGAACCCATGCAGTTGGAAGGGAGGAGGGCTGGTCCAGGCCCAGCAGGGCTTTTGGGGAAGGGTGCAAGCCATTTGGAGCAGGGCAGTGTTTAGGGAGGCAAAGTTCATGTGCTTGCCACTCCTGGTGAGGAGTAACTGCGTGTAGTCTCCAGGACACCTGAACCTTGTTGTTTTACATGTATCCAACAAACAAAGTGAGTGGCAGCACTGGGGAGGGGACAAGTGAGACAAAGCAACTTGCTTCACTGGCTAATAAACCCCTGAGCAGCTGAATTTTGGATGAGCTACTCCAGTGAGTGGCAGGTTTGCAGGCAAACATGCTGCCTTGTTTACACAGGCATGCTTGGAGCTGCCTCCCCAGCAGCGACGTCCAAGGAGACCCGTGAAGGGCAGGTGGTGGTAGCTGAGAAACATGTATAACAGTGGGAGGGTGGGTGTCCCTCCAGCCTGTGTCTAGTCACCAGGCTGGAGCTCTGTGGAGTTGTGCTCCTTGGGGTAATGCTCTGGTAACTGAAGTCTGGCTTCAGAACTGGTTTCTCATCCAGGTTTTGCAGGAAGGAGCGATGTAGTGGATGCCAGCTGGGTCTGGGACATAGGGACGTGGCCCTTGATGGCAGGTATGCAAATAGAGCAGCAGGGAGCCTTGGGAGCTGGCAGAGGAGGTGGGCTCACAGCTGAAGGATGCCTCATCTGTCCTTTTCTCCAGGTCATATTGGAGAATGTCTTCAGCCTCACCTTTCCGGCTATGGATTTTACCCAGAAGCAAATAGGGCTGAGCTGGAAGGAAATGCAGGAGCTGAGGCCTCCTTGCCACCCCTGGGGCTCTGCAGAGTCCTGAGGGCAGGAGCCCTTTCCTGGTTTTGCTCTGCTCCTCCCCAGCGTGACCACTTTCACTCCACACAGTGATGGTACCCAGGGTCTCAGGCACCCTTGTTCCTCAAAAGCATGCTTTCATCCCACTGGCTTGTCAGGGCCTCCCACCTTCGTGCCTTACTCCCTTTCCATGTTCAGCATGATGCAGGCAGGGTCCAGGGCTGGCAGCACCACGCTTGGGGGGAAATAGGGTCTCAGGGAGCCTGGAGGTGCAGGGTGAAGGGCATAACCCATGCCTGGTGCCACCACAAGGGTTTATGGGCTGTCACTATCACAGTGTTGAGGCTGGGGGACTGCTGCTCCTCCAGCCTATGGGACCCACTTGTGGCGCTGCTGGTTCTCCCCATGTGGGCTGGCAGGACAGCCCAGACCAGCTCCCTTCCCTGAGTAACCCACTGCTTGCCCTGTGCTGCTGCGGAGGGACCTGGAGGACGTGAGTGGTGCAATATCCTGCCTTTGTGTGTGCCAGTGCCGCATCCCCCAGGCCGGGCGGGGGTGAGGGAGCTGCTGTTCTCTGGAGGTGCTGCCCTTCAGCTCCACCACTCACTGGGCACTGGGGTTTGGAGTGGAAGGGTTGAGCCAGGCACTGGCACACTGCTGCTATTGTAGTTGCCTGTCACATACAGGCAACTCACCGAGTGGGCCCCGCAGGGAGATGTTCTGCAGCAAAGGCTCTGGCCCTCCCAGATGACAATAAGCCCCTCCGGGGCCCGGCTGTTTCCTCTGAGCTCCGGAGAGCTGCGTGGCCTGGGAGGGACCTTCCCGCTGGTGGAGGTTCTGCACGAACAAAACCCTCCAGCCTCTTCCCTGAGCCTCGGTAGTGCCAACACCCCGCTGCTTGCTGGGACACCAGCTCTCCTCCTGGCTTCCCTGCTTAACCCTTATGATGCCACGCTCCCAGTGAGCGGCACCAGCAGCTGTGAAAGTGACTGCTTCTGACACAAAAAAGCTCAGGGGACAGCTTTGGGGCGGTCACCTCCAGCTACCTCCTTGGGCTGGGGAGAGCAGGATGCTCTTGGTGCCCAGGATGCAGGAGGGAAGGGAGAGGGACCCTCGTTTTCTATCCCTGTGCGATTTCCCACCCTTGCCCTGCTGCCTGATGCAAACATGGCTTTTTTTTGCCCCTGTGCTCTCCCCAAAACTGGTTCCCAGCACAGCATGGGTTGACAGAGCTGGGGAGCCTTGCTGTGCCTGGTGTGCTCTGGAACCAAGCTGCTGATGTGTGTGGGGAGACTGAGGGGGGTCATGGGTTCACAATGCTCATCTTGGGGCTGCTGATGGCACACAAGTTGTCCACATTGTCCTGCTGCATGCACTTGTTCCCAGCACCCTGGAGCATCCCTGACCTGCCTGCACAGGCCAGGAGCAGCTCCAGAGCAGCACACGTGGCTTTGCTGGTCAGCAGACTCCATCCTTCCCTCTCTGTGCAGTTTCTGTCACGAGGAACTCTTGCACAGAGAGGCTGGTTGAGCAAGAGGCACCATCACCGCAGGTGCCAGCATGATCCCGGGCACACAGTGGGCAGCACCCAGGCACTGCCAACAGAGCCTGGGTCTTGCCTCTGCTGGGTGCAGGTACCTGACTCTCCTGGTTTGCTGGCAGGATGTGGCTGCTGCTCTAGGTCCCGGGCTTTCCCCTGTCCTTCTCAGCCCTGCTGCACCACGGGATGCAGCAGAGCAAGGTCAGTCCTCACCCAGGCACCTGTTCCCTCTATGGCCCATGCCTCATATGGCCCTGTTGGTGCAGAGCTGCAGTGCTCTGGGTGACCACAACTGCAGGGGCAATAACTACCCAGCAGCACATTTCCCTTCGGGTTTGTTTGCTTATTGCTGCCGGGTGTGTTTCAGTTTGTGTTTACAGACAGCAAATTCCACACACTGATCCTTTGTTTGCTATCACAAACCTTTCCATGCCATGGGGTTGGCTCTTGCAGCGTCCTGTCTTCCTGCACCCCAGCCCTCTTCCCTGCCCTTCCCTTGCTTCCGAAGCCAACTGAAGAGACTGCATGTGCCTCCTCAACTCCTTTGTGTCTCCCAAGGATCCCCAAATCCATTGCTGGGAATTGGGTCCCATGTTCCTCTGCAGTGTGGGCCTGTCTGCAGTGCATGTGCAGGGAGGTGCCTCTTGGCAAGCTGAACCTGGGCAGCTTTTCCTGCACCTTTACAAGAGCTTGGGGACCAGAGGGGACAGAGCTCAGGGCTGGGACATTGTCAGGAGCTCTTCTGTGCCTCTTCCTCCACACCATCCTCCTGACTGTTGTGCATGTGAGACAGCCTTCAGTTATTCCCCACTCTCCTGTGCTCTCACATATGAACCACAGACACCTCTGTTCACTTTCCTGAAGGGATTATCTGCAACAAGAGGAACCAGGCGAGGTTTCCCCATGTGAACATCCTGTGGTCCTGTGGCTGGGGATGTGTCTGTTGTCTGCCTCTCCTGCTGGCAGCCACCCTCACCCAGGACTAGCCCAGCTGCTGATGCCCAACTCCCGGGAGGTGCATGGCTACTGCAGTTGGCCTGTGCAGTCAGACTGCAGCTCCCTGCACACCCCGTCCCAGCACGGACTTGGGGTATTCACCGCGTCCTGGTCCCCAGCAGCCAGCGGGAAAGGAGGCTGGTGTGGATGGGTGTGCTGCTGCGGGAAGCTCTTCTGCCAAACAACTACCAGCGGGTTAATCATTGCGGGTGCTGTGCAACACAGCCTCCCGGGGCTGAGCTGCCTCGGCCGGGCACCCTCAGCGTGATTCCTTCTCCTTGCTTTGCTTTTGCACCTGTTGCAAGCTGCGTCCCTGTGCGGGGGCTGTCCCCGTGCATGCCTGTGCACGCGGTGTCCCTGGGCACCCTCCCTGGCACCCTTGTGCGCGGGCTGTCCTTGTGTATCCCCCGTAATCCCCAGCAGCTCCGGACCGGGCCCCGCATGACAGCGCCCTCTGCCGGCAGCGCCCACGCTGCGCCCCGGTGAAGGCCTCCGCCACCCCTCGCCGCTGGTGGTATGCGCCGCTGCGGTGCCTGACGGGAGTTGTAGTCGCGGCACAGAAGGACTCGCTCTCCCAGCGTACCCTGCGCTGCCGCCGCTGCCGCTCTGCTTCCCCTGGCCCGGCCGCTCTGCCCGCGGCCGCCATGGGCTCCCTGCTCAGCCGGCGCATCGCGGGCGTGGAGGACATCGACATCCAGGCCAACTCGGCCTACCGATACCCGCCCAAGTCCGGTGAGGGCCGCGGCGCTGCTCCCCTCAGGGACGGGGGCGGGGAAGGGGAAAGGGCTTTCCCCGGGTCTGGTGACCCCCCCAGGCCGCCCCAGGTGGGGGGGACAGGCGTAGCGGGGGGTGTCCGGGCCGCGGGGTCCCCGGAGGAGGGGCCTGCGGGAGTGCCGGTCACCGGCAGGGCCGAACGGGGCCCGGGCTGGCTCTGGCCCGGCTTGAGGCCTCCCTGGTGGGGATGGATGGTTCTTCTCGGGGTAAACTCGCGGTTTGAGGGCGTCTCGGTGCCCTGTCCGGCTGGGGTTCAGGGATGCAGGGGCGCCGTGTGCCCAGAATCTAGCGCTTCAGTAGTCAGCCCATCCTGGACCTCTGTCAGTGCCGGCTCCGTCGCTGCCCTTTGGTCCTGGTGGGTCCTGGTAGGTCCTGGTAGGTGAGCACGGCTTTGCTTCTCCACTCTGCGACCACAACAAGTCGTTGCTCTGCGGCAAGCAGGGCATTTCCTGCTGCCAGAGAGGAGGCGACAGGGGAGTTTGGTTTGGATGCGGGAGGAAAATCGGATGTGGTGGAATCAAGGATGGAAAACTGCCCATATGACAGCCTTTAACCCCTTGACATGACAGCGGTTCTCACGTTGGGGCCATTGGCTGGCATGGCCTATGTAGGTGTTTGTTTCCCAAAGGGAGATGTTGTGGAAGCTGATGGAATTCTCAGCAGTTGTTCAGTGAAGTTGGAGTGATCTCATGACTCACCTTGTCTTACACTGGCATTTGAGGTTGGCCTGGCTCAATGTGTTTAAAGAGTTTTGTGTATACATCTTACAGAACAAGTCATGAGGGAATTCAGGTGCTCTTTTCTCCCACAGTATCCATTTGCTTACAGATGTCTCTAAGTTTCTGTTCTGCTAGGGTTTTTCCAGGCAGGCTAAAGACTGAAGAGCAGCAGTTTGGGTTCCCTCATTCTGAAGTGCAGCTGTGGCATAGCCTTTTTGTTTAGACTCAAGTTCTGTGTGTGTGCAGTGACTTGCTGGCTGTGACATCCTCGGGGCTGTGTGATGGAGGAAGCCAGGTCCTCCCAGTTTGTTTGCAGAGGGTGCAAGATCTTCTCAGATAGAGTCCTGCCATCACTGCACCTTGTCTTGTTGAAGGTTGACCTTCAGCAAGGATGGTGGTGTGGAGGAGATGGAAGGGGGAAACCTGCCTAGAAAAATTCTTCAGCTGTGTTGGCTATATTAGAAAATGGAACTTGCCTATTTAAGGGGTGGGAACTAGTTCATTGAGCTGCTAGGAGAGGCAGATGACACTGCTGGGTCACAGCAGGACTGTGTATGTCCTGTGCATGGTTGGGGGGTTTCCTGGTGTGGGAGACAGGGTGGATGTGAGCTTGCTGCTGTACCTGTGGTACCAAGGGCCCTGCTGGCATCTCTCTTACAGTGCAGAGGTTGCCCTTGGTTTCTGTTGACACTTAGAATGTTAGATATGGGCTGAATTAATTTATAACTACCGTATGCAATGAACATTAAACCGCTTCTTTCAAATCTTCACCCTCTTGTTTCTGACTGTTGTGATGACCTGGACTAGGATTTAATGGGGTTTTAGCCAATGTGCTTGCCAAGGTAGCTGCATCACACACACAAGGTTGGGTTTCTATGTTCATGTGCACCCTGGGAGGGGTCTTTGACATAGATGCTGTCAGAGAGTGTTCCGTGAGTGGTACCCCCCCTTGTAAAACTGAACAGATAATACTCTCAAACAGCTGATTAAAGAAAAACATTGGTACTTCCTTAAAGGCTTTGGATACAATTAGATGCTTGTTGGTTTTTTTTTTTTGTTGCACTTGCTTGTGTTTTTTTCTGAAAGTATTGGCTTTAGGCTAGACCTTTCTCTTCACCTTCATTCACGTTTATTTAACAAGGATTCTCTAGACTTCAGGAAATGAGAAAAGCTGTTCAAACTCAGGATCATTCTAGGCAGGAGGAGAGGTCACGGACGATTCTAAGGTGGACATTCAAGGAAGGTAACTATACACAGGAAAAGTAAGGGATCTTAGGATGACAACCTCTTCTTCAGGTGCAGCATGTTCAGTCAGGACACTGTCTCTTCTGGTCCTGCAATCTTAAGTGTGTTTGGCTTGGGGCTGGAAAGATTTGCTGTTGGTGGTACAAAACCTAGTGAAGATGACTGGAAGTGAGTGTGCAAGGTTTTGTTTGGGTTTAGGAAGCAAAGTGGAAGTCTACAAAAAGTTCTTAGGCTAAACAGTTGCTAATTATTTCTAACTTGATGCTGTGAGCCCTGAGCCTGCCTGTCTGGAAGAAGCCCCTTTTCCATCAGCTGTGTTAGCTGTTTGAATGTGTGCACTGGAGCATTAGCAGGCAGTCTCCTGGCTGCTCAGACATTACCCCTAAAGGCTGGAAGATGTGGTAAGAGTGTTACCTGAGGTTATCCATCTTGTACAGCACCCAGGGCTGTCAGTTACTTTTACCTTCTTTCCCTCAGAGTCTCTGGTTGAAGCAGATCCTGACTTATTGCAGGTGTTTGGGCCATCCATGGTTGGTTTATCCATGGCATTGGTTTAAAGGAGGTGGGTTTGCTTTCTGCAGCAGATATACCACCTCATAAGAGGACCTGTTGTGCAAGGAAATAAACACAAACTACAGGTGTTCTGACTGTATTGTAAGCAGTATGTCAGCATGTGAAAAGGAACACGGATACTCGATCAGGTCATGTCAGGCGATGGCAGCTGTGGAGTTACAGCTGGTTGCAAATACAGTGCTGAATTTTCAGTGCTTACTGACTTTTGATGTAGTTATTGCTGGCTCAGTCATGTGCTCTGTGGAGGTTTGAGCAGGTTGTTGTGGAATCCACCTTCGTCCTTATGAGCCAGAGTCCCTGGTGAGGCATACACAGATTGTTTAAGAGGTTTGTTGCAGCTGATACGAGGTTTTGTAGTTAAAAATCCTCTAAAAATGCCCTGCTTATTCCTCCAAGGCTTTGGGTGTGGATCATCTATGTTTCCCCTCCTGCATCTGGGGGGCTGAAGCTGCTGAAATGGTGTGACACCTGATTCCGTTCTCTAATCCGTCTTCACTGATACGTTTTAACCTTTTTGCTTGCTTTGTGGAAGCCTGACCAGTTGAAGGGGGCTGGAGAAAGGCCCAGTTTATACAGCAGAATTAGCGTCCCCATGAAATGGGCTTAAAAATGGGTAATTGCAAGGAACAGTCATGATCTTCTCTGTGCTCCTGTGCTTGAAGCAGGAAACCAATCCATGTTCCTGCATGCAGGCTCATGATGCCCTTACTGCTTTAGCAACCAGTGAGCAACACACCAGTGTTTTCCGAAGCTCCTTCGTCAGCTCGTCTCTTGTTCTAGTGAGCTCATCTGCAGAGGGGAGCGGGGCAGGGAGCACATGCCCTTGAGATGGTTTTTCTCTTCTGGAGTAGGCTCTTGGAAGAGAACTCCCTGGATGTTTTTGGAAGGGGGAAAAAGAAAGGAGGCAGATTTCTCCTCTTGAAGCTGAACTGCTTTGTTGTTTGGGAATGATGCTTTAATTAAAGAAAAAGCATTTTTAAATAGGAGAAGAGTACCCAGAGCTGTACTCAGTCCATCACCACCTTCTCCACTTATAAGCCATGTGTACTGTGACAGCATCAAGACAGAAACACATTCCTGTATTTCACACATAGCTTTTGCTCCTCACCCGTGCCTCACAGCAGGAGAATTGTCTCTTACTCCTGCTGTAGTTCTGTAGGAGCTTCAGCCTGACCCTGCTGGTGATAGCCACCATCACCACTGATGCATTGACTGGATCATTCGCTTCCCATCTTCTCTGCGCGTTTGCACAGTACCAGACTAGAGCGCTTGTGGGTCAAAACCAGTTCCTTTTGCTACTGGTTTGTTGATGGGTTATATTTAACCCAGTTCAGAGCCACATTCCTATTGCTACATGATAGCTTTTGGTGGCCCAACAGGGATGGCCTCCTCCAGATGCAGTGCTGGTTCAGGCTCAGGCTGTGCCTAGGGCTTTGCTGTCAGCATGCAATCTTGGTGAATGTCTGAGTAAATAAAAGAAACTTAATTTCTATCAAGTCACTGTTAATTCTAATAATGGTGAGAAGCCTGAGTGGACGTTTAATTGTTTTCTGTTAATGACTATTGTACGATACAGGCCTTGTTTTTCTGGGGCTGCAGTTGTGTTGTTGACTCTGCTCCTTGCTGTTGTAGGGTGCTGTGTCCCCTGCCAGCATGTCACTTGTACATCACATGTGTGTTGGGTGTGCATGGTCATGGCGTTAGGATGGTGCAATAGTTAGGGAGAAGTAATTATGCCTGGAGCACCTTCATCCTGGTGCATCTATGGTAAGAAAACTCCACCACCATGCTGAACTAAACGTTAAGCATTTTGGTGTCACTTGATGCCTTGGAGAAGCCTTGGGTTCCAGTTTGGTTTTGCGTGGGACAAACTAATGAGACAGGCTTGGCTATTGTGTCCCAGTGGTGTGTTTCCGGCCACTGTAAAGTTTTCCACCAATTTCTGTTAAAACCACTGCTTGTGCTTCATCTACCTTAGCAGTGTCATCTTTTTGTGCTTTCTTTTACCTGGTTATCTCTTGTGTTTTGTCCTGATTTACCTTGGGGAAGTAAAGCCACAGTTTTTCTGTGCTCTGGCATTTCTCTCATGTTCTTATCCTTGTTTATGTGTCTTCTTTCCTTGTAAGTGTGTTGCTGTGTTTTCCATGTGGATTTCTGTTTGTAGCAGCTGTGGGGAGGGTTAATCCAGATTTTTTTGCTTTTCTTTTTTTTTCCCTGTGGAGGAAGATGATGCTTAGCATTCGCCTTGTGCCCACAGCCATAGAACTCTGTCAAAGCTGGCCTTGCAACACCTGTGTAAGGTAGGTTAAGGTTGTTTTATAGGCTGGGGGGACATGTGGGGGCAAGGTTCCGGAGCCGTAGTAGTCCGGCTAAAATCCTAAAGCTGTCTTGGTAATGGAGCTGGAAAGAGAGCTTGGAGGTGGAGCTGCAGTGGGATTTTAATGTGTACAAAATACATACAAGCCTTTTAGAGGCACTAAATATCTGACTGGTCTTGTGCCTGGGTATGTGGATGTCATGGTGACTGGAAAAGGGGATACGTCATGTTTGCCTCTGTGAATTTTCTTTGTCCTTTTACTTTGTCCTTTTAGCCCTTGGTGTGATATTTACAGAAGCACTTTCTTAAAACATTTTGTCTCCACCTTGGGCAAACTGTGAGTTGCTTGTGCCAGTGGTTGAGAGGAATAGTGTGTAACTTTGGTCTTACCTTGAGAGCTCTGAACTGAATGTGGTGTAGTAGCAACTGGTTTCTGAAAGCTTGCAGTAAAACATCTTTTCTGTTGTTTTTTGTCTTTTTTAGCTGCTCAGAACTGTGTTATAAATTTGTGTAGACAGTTTGTGCCATCCTGGTTTGTTATGCTGTTGAGACCTCGCATAAGTGGCAGGTTTTGTGTCTGCAGCAGCACCGGCAGAGCCCTGGGGTGTTCTCCTCACCAGTGAGTTCCTTCTGAACTCCTTAAAGTGGTTTCCTTGTGCTCCTTGTGACTGGCACTGACAACAGTCCTTGTTTGCTCATTAAGGAAGTGCCTCTGGAGAAGAAAACCCCTTCACATTGCACGAGGTGACTTAGCAGGAAGATGAAGGGAGCCTTCTGTTTGAATGTGGAGTTGAAGCTGTCGTTTCCAGTTAGAGAAGTGTTGCTGTATTGCAGGAGATAGTGCGTATTTCTGAGAAATCCTAACAGTGTTAGAGGTCCTCAAAGTACTTAGTGGAGCACAGGCAGCCTGGCAGTTGCCTTGAATATGCTAGTTCTGTGTCTCGGTGTCGTTCCAGTTGTACAAGAGACACCTTTTCATCCCAGGGTGCTGCAGGGGTGATGCTCTCCTGGCTCCCTGCAGGCATGGGGTGTCAGTGGTGGTGAGCAGTCCTTGCTGGCTGGGGCTCTGTGTCCTCTGCACACAGGATGCAGAACTTCTGCCACAGAAAAAGCTCTGCTCTGAAACTGTAATACACGTTTGCTGAGGTGAGTCAAGCCCCAGGATGTCTCTCTCATTCACTGTGTATGAAGGAGCTGACTCAGATCCCAGATAATCAGCCGCTGCAGTACTGAGGCATCCTGCACAAGTGTTGTCTTCATGGTTAATCAGATTAAAATGCACCAAAACACAATCCTTCTTGACCCATGTAAAATCTGTTCCTAAACCCAGTGTTTATCACGCTTTTGTGAACCTCAGTGCAAGCATAAACCGCCACAGTGTATCTCGGGTGGAGAGGCTGTATCCAACAGGCTGTGCTTGGAGATGACATGGAGATTAGGTTTTCGATTTATAGCTTCTGGGAGGGCTCGGGAAAGGTTGCTTGTCATTTGGAGCACCTACATTTTGTCATGCTGATTCTGTAGGGCAGATTCTAGGTAGATTCTGGACCTGTGCTGAAGTTGACGGTTGTATGTAGAAAGGAGGATATCTATAATATATACATCTGGATGCTTGTAAGCTGAGCTCAGCAGTAGCTGAGCACTACCATGGTCACTACAGCACTACCAAATGTGCAGAGCAAGAGCCTTTCTTAAAGCATAAAGGAAAAAAAGGCTTCATGGAAAAAACAGCCATTCAAGAAACCCCTTCCATTTCAGAGTAAATTGTGCTTGCTCCTAGCTAGAGGGGATTGCAAATCCTTTCCTAATGCCTCTATAATGATTCAGATTATTAGTTACTGCTTCTGTAATGACTTGTCTTAAAATGAATCTTATGCTGTCCGTGCACTGCACGTAGGGAAGAGAATGTACATTTGTCTCAGTCCTTTCATCATGTGCATGAGAAACCCCCGCTCTGAAACTTCCAGGGAAATGGCTGGGGTGGAGCTGCCTCTTTCAGTTCTCTCCTGGTTCTTATTTATCTGACGTTGTAACTCTGTGAAGTTCATGTTGGAGGGTGTTTTTCTGAAGTCACTGTAGGAGGAAGCCACGTTTGTGGTGCCCTCATGCTGCTGAATTGATTTGGTTGACTTTGCAGTTAATTCAGTGCTCCAGGATCCCAGTGACCTTGCGCAGACTTCATCTCCTGAAATCTGTGCTGTAGTGCGTCGCCTTAAAGATGAATGAAACAAATACACTGTGAAGCTTTCAGAGCTGAAGTTCAGTTTAGTCAGTCCCAGGATTTATCTCCTCCAAACACCCATTTCTGCATTTAGAACTGTCAGTGTTATTGATTCAGCATCAAGGTGTGCAGTCTTTAGCACTCACAGCAAAGATTTTGTGTCTGTCCCTGGGATATGGGAATGAAAGAGGGGAGGGAAGGCGAACTTTGCCCAGCAGGAGCCCCTCTGACTCTGCAGGGCTTTGCAGTGGGAAGAAGTCTCATCCTTCTCTGAGCAAGTCGATGGTGTTTGTGGGACTGGATGGTGGAGAAAAAAAGAATTCATCGGAATTGAGCGATATTGGAAGGAGCTGACTCTTACTGCTCCCTGTCCCTTCTCTGGAAAACAAGTTAAAATGGAATTTTCTTCACTGTAATGATCTATTCTAGTTTGCTGGGTTTCTTCCCCTGCTCCTACTGTTGGCAGTGTACATTAGTAACATAGGGAAGGAGCGAACCAGCAAGTAGTTTCCATGGTTTATGCTCTTCCGTACTTTCGAATGAAAAACTGCACAGACCAGCTGTTTTCTGGGAAGCATTAATTTACTTGTGGTTTTCTTTTTCTAGGAAACTACTTTGCAAGTCACTTCTTTATGGGAGGCGAGAAGTTTGACACCCCTCACCCTGAGGGCTACCTTTTTGGCGAGAACATGGATCTAAACTTCCTTGGGAACAGACCTGTTCAGGCAAGTTCCTATATGTTGTCTATTTTACCCTCTTGTTTTCTGCCTGTTTTGGGAAATCTTTGTAGGGGCTTGTAGAGGAGGATGGCACAGACCTAAGAAACCCTCACTACTTGGGGAGTGTAATTCCAGTCAGAGGTGCAAGAGTGTTCCCCAGTCCCATGGCCCAGCTTGCCAGTTGCCAGAGCTGTTCAAATGCAAGCAGTTTTCCTAAGAAGCAATAGTCACCTTCTAGGCTTATTTAAGACAGAAGGAAGAATTAGTGGAGGTAGGAGGATAGGAGCACAGGAGCACAGATTTTAGGGACTAATTATGATTGCCTGGGTGGTGTTAAGACAGATCTTGATATTTGTTGGGATTTGCTTGCTTTGTAACCTAGGTGGGCTGCTCAGAAAGTCTTTCCTTTAGTTTTCCCAGTTGCAACGTGGAACTGTTATACTGGGCTCCCAGGGGTCTTGTGAGACTGTGAAAAGCTACCTGCTTGAGTGACTGGCTTGTTCTGTTATGAACAGGGAATAGCACTGTTGTGGGGGACAGATTGGACTTTTATGCAAATGTTATGTTTTGGTTTCCTCTTGCCTCTCAGAACTGCTTAAAAAGAGCAAAAAGGTTTCAGCAGGAGCCATTTGGAGCTATTTTCAGAGTGCTGGAGAGGAAAGGGTTAAGAGCTGCTTGCTTTGCTGCTATTTTCCTAGCTGTTTCTGCAGCTTCAAAATGTGAAAAAGAAAACGTTGTTGCCATGGTTCTCATCCTCAGAAAAGCTGTGACTAGAAGTTTATTCATGTTTGTAAGGCTTGGGGGCCGTTCAGTGTCACCCCTGGTTTACAGATGGGGAAACTGAGGCAAGATGACTCACTGAATTGGATTGGTGACAGGCAGTTTCTGCTGAGCTGTCCTCAGGCTTTGCCATTGGTCTTCTCAGCACCACAGTTCACAGCACTCTGCAGGGTAGGACAAGGGAGAAGCCAGAAAGCCCATGTTCAAGCAGAAAGTGCAGATAAGTAACAGAATTAGGAAGGAAGGACTTCAGATGGAAATTGTTCTGGATGTAACAGTGCTGTGCAGGCATGGAGATGCTCAGTGCATGTCCTGTGCCATGTCTGCATACAGGACCTGTGCAGGACAGTGATTAAAAGCTGACTGCTTCTCCTTTGCTTTGTGACTAGCAGCTGCACAGTGCTCCAATAAAAGCAGAAGATGCAACTGTAAGCAAAATATCCCATGTGCCTATGGCTATAGGGCCTAGCCTTGGAGAGTTAAATTGCCTTCATGTCTCAGCTTGGGTTTCCTTGCAGACATCCCAGCACTGAATTTCGTCATTTCTTCAGAGGGGAGTGGGTGAGAATGCTATTAACACAGTGGGATGTTTGCCAAATAGGTTTAAGAGAGGGAGGCTGTTGTGGTATATAGTTTGCCTGTGTAAAGTTGATGCCCTTTGGCAGCTCTGATTAATCTTCAGGGAAAAAAAAAACACTTGAACACAGAGCAGCAGAACTGCTTTCTGGACACGGACCAAGTTCTCACTTTGCAGTAGCTTTGGTCCTGACTGCTCTGTGTAGAGCAGTGCTACCAACCACAGTACCCAGCAGTCAGGTTGCAAGGAAAGTAGTTGCTGCTGCCCTGTGAATTCTCTGCTGCCTGTGGCTGCGGTGCAGGTTTTCTGTGTTGATCAGGAGGCAGCATGTTTCCCCTCTCTGACTGTTGCTCCACCAATGCATTTCTGTGGTCTGAGGGCAATGCTGAAAGGTTGTGTCCTGGAACTGCCCTGAAGCTCAGCTGCAGTAGCATTTGGCTGCCTGTTTAGCAGACTCGTCATTTCTAAGGAATCGTGTATATTGGTGGTCCCTGGTACTTCTGCTCCATACCAGTCACTCCCTCTATTCTGCTGCAGGGGACCTGGTAGGTGTGTGTCTGAAGGACCTCAACTCCAGTGAGTTTGTGTGGTGGCACTGTTGCTGGCTACATTCAGAATTACCTTCTGCCTGAAAGCCCGTCATGTAGCTATGTACCTTTGTGTCATGCCATTGCTCTGACTTGGAGGATGGCTGTGTCTCCAGTCCGAGCACCTATCAAACTTGGCGGTTGTGTGAGTGGATGTTTCAGCTTCAATTTTCATGAAGCAGATGGGAGATACAGCAGGCAGGTCTGCAGTTGTACAGGTTGTGGTCACCACAGTAAGCGGTTTCCTTTGCATTTCTTGCTAGAGAGTCTGTGACCAGTAAGGAGAATTACAATCTAAAGCATTATTGTCCTTTATTTAATCTATGAAAGAAGGTCTCTTGACAGTAGGACAGGATGAGGCCCCCTATCCCCATCTCTTTTCTTTTAAAGAACATTTGCCCCATTGTTTAAGAATAAAAAGAGTTTCCCCCAGTAATCCAGGGCTTCAGCATGCTGATTAACAGTTAAGTCACCCTTTGCATGCTGTAACACGCATGGAAGAGCTGCATTTTTTCTGCTCAAGCTGGAGGTGGTTTCTTAAGTGGAAATAAAAGCTTGTGAGAGCAAGGCTTTCCAGAATTCAGAGTGCAGGAAAAGAGCTTTCTTAAAGTACTTACTGCCAATACAAGCTATTGCTGGGCCAGAGCAGGATTCTTATCCTGAAACATACTTGATTTATCTGTAAGTAGAATTTGCTGTTGCTGTTCCTTGTGGTTGTTGTGCTGAGTACCCTTAAAGGTAGATGTTTCTTGGTTTGGGTAAATTATATGCCAGGTAACATGCTACTACCTTTTATGGTATAATAATAGGAGAATGATTTGCCTTTTTATTCCAGTTTCCCTATGTCACTCCAGCTCCACATGAACCTGTGAAGACGCTGAGAAGTTTGGTGAATATCCGCAAAGACTCTCTCCGACTTGTGAGGTATTGCTCTTGCCTGAACCTTTCATTTTATTCAACCCAGCGATCTGTCGTCCAGAGCCAAACTGTATTTGATAAGATTCTGGAGAAACAGCTGAATTTCAGATCCCTGTTGCTGTATATGTCTAGAGGTTTCTGTTTCCTTGTGCTCAGAGCTTTCAGGTGTTTTTCATTTTCCTTATTCCTAGACTTGAGCCATCTGTGTAGGACTACTGATGTATCTGTCTCTGCAGGACAAGCTAGAGTCATAAAAAAAACCATAAAAACATTAGTATGAATGGACGATATTAGTCAGGTCAGTAAACTATACAGAGAGATTCCTTTCTCTGTTCTTATGCAAGGAGAAGCCAGAAAGTGGCTGATTCTGGTGCAAGTCACAGGCCAGGAAGACTTACCAGTCTTGAGTGAAATTTCCTCAGGTTTCTCCTGTTGCCAAGATAAAGTTTGGTCCTAATGTTATGGATTTGTTTAGATGGCTGGTGGCCCATGCATAGGGGAAGGAGGACTGGATAGTTACGGAGATCTGTTTCACTGTGCTACACTCAGATCTAAACCAAGACTAGCTGGATGTAACGGCAAACACTTCGACCTGTGGCTGCCCTCTTTCAAACAGATGGCTGAAGTACAGAGGCTGAGCATACAGTGCTTTGTTTTGGTCTGAGCTACTGGGTAGATGTCCAGGCAGAGCATTTCTCAAAGATCCTTGAATTGCTCAGAGTTCTGCGTTTCAGGCACAGGGCCAGCTTCCACTCTCAGCCAAGGTGGTTCTGGGAGTATGGTGTAATGTGAATAGTTTCAGTCATAACCACACAAACCCCTTTTTGTTTTTGTGTGAAAAATGAAGGGTTTATTTTGGTTTTTTAAATGAGCAATACCTGTGGTTTCAAAACTGATTGAACAGGAAAAGAGGGAAGAACTTCTGAAGAAGTAACCATTGGTAAACCACTCTGAATGCTGTCTCACCCTTTCAGCTAAAGGGTGAAGTACTTCTCTAGGAAATAGCCTTGCTTTCCCCCCACACTTGCTGTGGAAACGGTATTTTGTTCTCCTTGCAGGCATCCACGTAAATGGTGGAACATCTCAGAAGCCAAATGGCAAGTGGCTTTTTCACTGGGAGAGGCGTTGCTGTGAATGGAGGAGTTGATGGGGTTTACTACATACAGTTCTTTCATTCTGTTTTCTGTGGTTGCCCTCCCAGCTGGAGTTGAAGCTCTGGACTATATGAAATATAGTGTCCACGCACCCTAACAGTGTCCTGGTTTGCATCTGTCTAATTCCTGGTACTATCAGTTCTTTTGCTGCCTTGTGAACTCCAATAGGCTTTTGTGCTGCTGCCACCATATTACTGCTGTTAACACCACCATCAACATTACTCTATTTAATTTTGTACTGATGTAGACCCAGAATGAGATTTTAATTGCCAGTCCCCAAGGGTACATTGCGTCTCGTGCCTTTTCTGCTGTTCTGTACCAGAGACTTTTCCTTTATTCTTCTGTGTACATAAAGACACTTTGTGCCCTCTCCAGCTTGGCTTATTTAAAACAAATAATTGAGGTTTGCACATTCTTTCCAGAACTAGTTAAGTTTAATTTATCACCTCCTCCACCAAATAAAATGATACTGGGTTGAGTGTCTTAAGTGTAAAGTAGGTTCTGATGATGAAGTGCTCACAAAGTTTTTGTTTTTCACAGAGTCATAGGATGGTTTGAATCCAAAGGGACCTTAATGAACTCATTCAGTTCCAACCCCCCTGCAGCAGGCAGGGGCAGCTTCCACTAGACCAGGTTTCTCCAAGCCCCATCTGACCTGGCCTTGAACACTGCCAGGGATGAGGCAGCCTCAGCTTCAACCTGTGCCAGGGCCTCAGCACAGAAAAAATTCTTCTCAATACCTAATTGACATCTTTCAGTTGAAAGTCCCCCCCCCCCCCCCTTGTCCTATCCCTGCATGCCCTTGTAAAAACTTGCTGAGAGTGCACTCATTCTCATTGTCCATGTCACTGACAAAGATGTTACACATCACTGGTCCCAATACCAGCCCTGTATTTAATTGAAAAGTCATTGTTCACCTGTGAAGAGGGTGCTTATCCATAATTTGGGGTGCAGGACTTTATGGAGAAATATGAGGAAATGTCCACTTTGGGTTTCCAGCTCTTACCAGACAAATTCTGAGCTTTGCCCAACTATGAAAGTTTACAGCAGCTTTGGAGAGAAGCAATAAACCTGTGAACCTGAGTTTTCAACACCTTGTGTGAGTGCTTGAGCTCTAGCAGGGTGAGACTCTCTGAACCTCAGAGGAGGGCAGCATGAGTTTTGCTGTTAACAACTAGCAGAAGAGTGCATTATGTCTGTTTCATGTCCCTCTTCTGGCACTGGATTGGAAGCTGACTTCAGAGCTGAAGTACCCGATAAGCTTAAGCTGGCTGTTTAGTTTTATCTTGAAAGCACTTCCAGTCACTAGAGGAAGGTCAACTCATAAAGTGTTTCATGGAAAAATTACATCCTGGGACAGCCTCTCTGCTTCAGTGTGGGCTTTGGATGGCATCACGGAACTAAAGTGCTGAGGGGATCAGCAACTGTAGTGGCTTGGGAATGTGTCTGAAGCAGCAGCAATACCGTGGAGAGTAGTGAGACCACTGAGCACTTTGGATAAGGGCCTGAGAGGGAGGTGGATAATAGCGACTGAAGGAGATGGGTGAGTTACTGTGAGTGAAAGAAGGGAAATCCCTCCTCTGCCCTCTCCACCACAGTGGGGCTGGTGATCCTTGGAGCTGTTCATCCTGCAGTGAAGGTGATGTTGCGGAGGGTGCTGGGACTGCCTTATCTGCAGCCCTGAACAGTGTTAAACTGTACAGATCTCTGCAGGATGCTTAAACAGGAAAGCTTCCATTTGATGGTGATCTCCCTCCATGACGGTCAACACTGATAGAGATGTCAAATGCCTGCTAAAACTGTTGTAATGCATATCTTACAATGCTAAGCCAAGCAATACTTCACATTTATCCTGCAGGTCTACTAAGCTTTTGGTCAAACTTTTTGATCTCCTCAAAGGATGAAATCAGGTTCGACTCCACCTAGTTCTGTAAAATTGTCATGGTTGCTGTTAATTATACTTTTATCTTTTAATTCTTTAACAGACAAACAAAAAGACGTGATGTCAGACCAGGTGGCCTCAGCTCCCTTGGTCATCCTGCTTTGCCTTTTTCATCATAACGTTGGATCAGCTGTTTGTTCTCAAAGGTGGTCAGTCTCTTCTGCTCTGTACACATGGTTGTGGAGACTGTGCTCTCATGTGCATGACTGAAAGGCGCACCTAGCAAAGTCACTGGTTTCTAAACTTGTGCATGCATCTGTGGCCACCTCACACCAGCACTGTCTGTAGGGTTTGACCGAATGAACTTGTAAACTTCAAGTGCAGGTGGAGACAGAAGAGCTCTTGAGCTCCCAAACCACTCCCGAACCACCACCTCCTTGTCTGCCATATCCTTTGCAAAGAAAGAAGGAATGCAAAATGTGTGACTTCGTCTTATTAGTCTCCTGAAGATACATCCCACTGTTCTTGCACCTTAAGGTGGAACATGAGATATCTCTGCTTCTCAGAGTATGCACTGGTAGTCTTTGCTTGTTCCTCGGTCCAGCTACCGGTTGGTGTAGCTGCTTATGCAGTCTTTTCTCACCTGAACTCCTTGCTATGTGGCAGACAATTTTCTTAACCTCCAGCACCAGGCATGTTGAAACTGGAAGATGTGTACACAGCCTTGCTGTGACTGTCACCATTTAGGCATGTGTACTTTGCCCCCTGCTTGAGCAATGGTGTTCAAGGCAGGCAGGGCTTCCTATCTCCCAGCAGATGCATCCTCCAGAAACCTTCTCTCCAGGCATTGCAGCTGGTAGTTGGTGGTGTCCCCTGCATAGTCTCCCAGGGCAACAGATCAAGTGAAGCCTGGGTTTAGAAAGGTTTAACCGCTTTGGTTCTTGAAAGGATGGAAGCACGTTCTGAGTGCTGGCAGGGAGGTGAAGAGGTGACACTGGGAGCAGGGTGGTGATATGGGAACCCGTGTGCTTTTTGTGGCTTCTCTGAGAAGACAAAACAGGCAATGGTTTTACCATTGAAGAAACATTGTTATGTGATCTGCGCCCACCCCCAGGTTTCCCACTTTGTTACTTGGGGCTGTTACAGATATCTACATCTGTGGTGTTGATTTGTAACTCATACATGTGCTAGTCATCTCTATTTTGATACCTACCGTATATACAGTGAGTATAGGTCTATGAAGTAGCCTCCATTGGTGCTTGCCTTCAAGGGGTGCTGGTTCTCCCTCACCCTACTTCTTCTGGAAGAAGTGGCAAAGGTATCATAGCATGGATCCACTGCTGCCAGCCTCAGATCAATGGAGGGCAGTGCAGCATGGGACAATTTGCAGAAGTTTGCGTTGCTGCTTTCTTGTGGGCTGATTGTTGCCATCTGTTGTTCTTGGGTCAGTTCAGGACAAAATGTTGATGCTACCCTTGTGTTTTCTAGGCAAACCTGCCCTGCTGGATAAAGTATTTCTTGTTTACAGCCTTCGAGTGCCATGATTTTATCCTTTTAATGCAACTAGCTAGTGTGAAAATACCATCTTGCTCTATACTGTATATTGTATCCAGTATTTGCTGCTGCAAGTGTTCAGACCCTCTGTTCTTGGGATTTCTGTTTTTATACTTGCATGTTGGGTGTATTCTAGTTTGATTTACTGTTCTGACATTGGTGAACCTCTGGCAAAAGTCTTGTTTGGAGCTCTCCAGCTCCTTCAGGCAGGAATGCAAGTGTATGCTCTAGTGGCTCACTAGGATTACATTAGTATGTGCGTTAGGTGTTTGATTGTACTGCTCTCAAATTTTATTTTGCACCTTCTGTATTAAATGGCTGAAGTTGAACATTTCATTCTTGTTCAGTGTGATGTTAAATAAAATTCATGCTGGAACTCTCTTAATTAGGCAGCAGTTATTACATCTCAGTGAACTCGGTAAATAAGGATTCCCTTGACAATTTTCAGATGGAATTATGTGGTATGCCTAGCCCATTTCTGAGTATTTTCAACAGTGCAGCATATTCATTGAGGCTGGTTAATGAAAGGAGAGGCTGACTGATACTGCGAAGTCAGAGACAGTGCCAAGCTTTTCCTGAATAGTTTAGCTGCTTGGCTTTGACCCAGGCATCGTGGCAATTAAGGTAGTACCAACAGACAAGTGAGGCTGGAGCTGAGTGTACATCAACTAGTGTTGTACACCTCTCAAAGGCAACCTGTTGCATTCACCTTTTCTGCACAGTGGGGGGTTTAATGGTGGTACCTACAGTTGTAGGGTTATGGTGGGATTGGAATTTACGTAGGAGAATCTGCTTCTGCCCCGCCAGTGAATCACGTCCATTCTGTCTGTCACTTTGCTCTTCAGGGCAGGAGAGGTCTTCTCAATGGTATGTTGTGTTGGGTGCTTGTTCCAGATTGCTGGTTTCCCTGGCCCCTCCTAGCATGCCATAACTCTCTGCTCAACCATGGCCTTAGCTTGCTGCCCTGAACCTTTCTTCATACCACCTTCTTCACCAGATTTGTAACTTGCCTTTTTGTAGCAGCAGTGAGGAGGAGTAATCCTGGGCAGTGGTGATCACACAGTTGTTGAGTGGCCCGTAGCCAGGTTATAACTCACGTTTATAGAAATTGAAATAACTTCTAAACTCATCCTCTATTGATTATCATGCATCTGTTACACAGTTGAATGTGTTAATTTTTGTTTATACAATAAATGTGTGCAAGCTTCAGTCATTAGCAGCATCAAAGGTTTGATTGACGATTTATACTTTTAAAGGTATTTGAAGTTCCTGTGTTTGGATACTTTCTGAGCTGAATATCAATCTTCTGTCTGATACTGATCACACAGATAAGTGTGATCTTTTGTTCATCAGGAGTTTTGTGTTACAGAAACCCTGTTATTTTGCCTGTCATGCGCCATTTAATTTGCAGAGTTAAAAGAATTGGGCTTCAGACTTCTCAGGCCCGTGCAGGATTTCTTTAGCCTAAACATTGAGTCTAATGTGAAGTTTTAAAAGGAGGGAGAATGTTTCTTGTCTTAGGATTTGACATTCTTATCTTAGGGTTTGACATTCAAGAGTTCACTTTCTTGTCTCATTCTGTGTCCCAGCATTGTAAGGCTCAGTGAGATTCTTCAACACCATCACTACATAATTCAATTGAATAATTTCAATCAAATCTTGGAAGAACCTTTCTTGGAGGAAAGAATCAAAGTCTTCTGGGAAGCCCCAGTGGAAGTCTATGGTGCCTTGCGTGCCCAGAACACCTCCACTGAAGTACTCTTGTCCTGATTCCCAGAGTGATCTTGATCACATCTCATAAGAATATGTTCTAATCCTCTGGCTTTGTCTTTCAGGTATAAAGATGATGTTGACAGTCCTACTGAGGAGAATGGGAAGCAGAAAGTCCTGTACAGCCTGGAGTTCACATTTGATGCAGATGCTCGTGTCGCCATCACAATCTACTGCCAGGCTACAGAGGAGTTTGTTGGTGGCATGGCAGTGTAAGTCCTGGGCGTGTGGGCATGTGGAGGGGCACAGGCTCTTGTCTGATGAACAGGGCAGTGCTGCCATGGAGGGTGGAGAGGCTAATCTTTTTCTGGTTTGCTTTATATATTCTCATAGCTTTGAATATTATTTTCACTTCCCTCCTGCCAATGTCCTCTCTTTTGTTCCTTTCTTGGTTTGTTTTTTGGTGTGGAGAAACCATTTTGTGTGCATTAAAGGAGAGGAACTCACAGCTGTGTGCTTTGTCAGCAAGATTTTCTATGAAATTAAAAAAAAAAAAACAAACACCCTTCCCTTCAAACAGTACCTGTTTTTAACCCAGATCACCTGACTCACTGGATTTCTATGATCCCTGTGATGGGAGCATCTAGGCCACCAAAGTAAAGCTCAGTCTGACATTTACATAGCAAATCTGTGGAATTGAGGCTCACCCAAAGCCTATTTTGGGATGAATGACCCCCTCAACACAGGCTGCTGGGAAATGGTTATCAGGAGGATTTATTGCCTGAAACTGTGTTTCCTGCCAAGCACATGTATTAGTCTTTGACTAGCTGTAGAAATGGTCAAACTGTCATCCATGGAGTCTTTCTTGTATCCTGGTAGTGCATCCCTACAGCTTTCAAACCTTTTTTATCTAAATCTGCATGTTTAATCCATTCCAATCAACACTGTATCCCATAACACTATGCAAAATTTTCTCTCTGTATTAAGAAATAAGGTGGCTGAAATGTGCTTTCCCTGGTGTGAGCTGGGTACACATGAGCTGCTGGTACGTTACAGCAGGCTTCCCATGGCCATGGGACAAATAATTCTTCTTGGTCTATGGGTAAAGGAAGATTCAGGCTGCAGAAACTCTTGGCTTCCTCTGGTAGAGGCTTTTGGCTGATCAGTGGCTCTGTGCGCATGATGCTGATGGCTTTTGCAGTGGTGCTCTGAATTTGGGGGTTACTTATGTTTTATTGGAGGGATCTGTAGAGGTTTCAGCAGGGAGAAGTATGTATGACAAACCATAAAATGGCTTGTATGTTTTATGCAAAGTATAAACATCCCACTAATGACCAATGAACAGTGTATTTTTAGAAATGAGACAGGCTCAAAGCTGCCATCCAGATGTGCGTTCCTCCAAACTGGAGGATATCCCAATCCAGAATTTTTGCTTAGGCCACTTCATTTCTTCTGTTGAAGCCTGTGAATGCCTTTACTTTTGGGAGGTAATAAATTAGCTCCTTTTAAGTGCTTGAAAAATCTCTCTTGACAAACTGTGAAAATGCTTTCTATTTAGATTCAGCTTGTCCTGAGCAGAGCTGAATGAAGCAGGATACCTTAGAATAAAGTTTCCATGTTCTGTCTCTTGGGTCCTTAGGTTTCCTGTGAATTTAGTGCTAGTGAAGGTCTTGGAATGGCAGCCTTGGAGATTGAAGTCCTCTTTTCTTAATACAGGTACAATGTGGAGAGGTGGCCAGTGTCCCTTGTGCTGCCTCGCAATGTTCCTTGTTTTTTCACCCAAGAAGGAAACCTGCTGTGGGCTAATGGGAAGAGCTGAGGGCCTCTGTGGCCAGGGTGGATGTATTTACATTGTCAGACTTCAGCCATGGCTTAAATCAGCAAGTCTTGTTTTAAATCATTGATTTTAATCTTGTTTTGCACATTCACTTGTTGATTTACTTGGAGACTGTCTTTGTCACTTATCAGTAATGCCGAAACATCTATTTACATATTTACGTATTTACATATTTACGTATTTACATATTTACGTATTTACAACCCAGTAAGCTTCACATCAACCTTTGTGCTACATTTTTACAATGAGCTTAAGTCAGTAAAGATTATGCGTGTAGTTTAAAATGTATTTTTTCCAGACTCCTAGTTAAGCTTTTTGTTGTGTCAAAATGGCAAAAAAGAAAGTTATTCTAAAAAGAAAGATGTTCTTTTTAACCTGTGTCTTGAACCAGCCTGTGTTGGGGTGAAATGCAACTGAGTCACCTGAGACCAGCAGTGTAGCATTCTTGTTGGTTAAACTGCTCTGTGTTGGACTCATAAAAGACCATCTTGTCAAGTTGTGCCTTGAATAATAATTGCCTAATGAAAGTATTATAGTTGCTGAATATAACAATTTCTGGATAGAGTGTGTCTTCTCTAACTCTCAGCTCTCCTCTCAGAATTCTGTTGGTTGATTGAAGGAGGAAATCATGGTTTCTGGTTCACTTAAAGAACACATTACTTAAATCAGTGCCATGCACTCAGCCAGTGACTGTCACCAGTGCTGTTGTCTGCTCTTTAATGCTTATGCAGCAAACATGAGCTACCTAATTGCTTTTTAAATCTAATTTGAACAATTCCTAGGTAGAGCATCTTAAAGTTAACACAACTGTCACCTTCAAAGAAATATTCTTTTAAACCTGAATGTTTTAATCCACGCTTTCCATGGTTCACTGAGAGAGATCTCTATTCAAATGCCAGAAAAGAAGCCTTTGTTCATGAACCCTACCTGCCTCTGCACAAAACCAGGATCAGTAGACAGCAGTCGTTACCTCGCTAACAAAATGTAGCTGACCACAATGTGCTGCCCTGCCTGGGTGGCAGCAGTGCTGCCCCATGCACTGAACCTTTACATCAAAAGGTAAAGTACTTGGATTCAGCTCTTGCTTCCACTGCTGGCCTTTTATTAAAAAGGTCATACTTTATTTCCCCATAGTATAGGAGTGATGAGCTGTCTGTCTCTGCTCTGGAGTTCTTGGACAATAAACATTATATAGGTGTGGGGGGCTGCACCAAAGGCCAGGGAACCTTTTGGAAGGCTTGATCCTGATTTCATGCAGATGTGTAGGTAATAAGGGCTGCGGGAAGCAAGATACAAATATAGACTTTATAAGCTGGTTTAAGTCAACCCAGGCTATTTTTCCCTGTGGAAGTGGCTTATGAAGCATGTCTTGGGGCTAGTATAGCTGCTTGAAGTAGGCATCTCTGCTTCTCTGGGTTTGCTGGCTGCTAGTAAAAGCCTTTTGAAGCTCTGATTTCAGCTTTGCAAAGCAGTTCTGAAAGGGCAGTGCAATAATTACTTTGATTTATTCTTTTCAAATTCTAGTGGAAAAAAAAAAACCAAACTGGGCTGCATTCTTCAAGCTCTGAGAGGAGTGAGTGCATTCCTAGTGCACAAATAGGACTGCAGCTTCCCCCCAGGCAGCTTCCCCCTGCCTGGGCTGGTAGATTTTCCTTTTTCTCAATTTCTTTTGGTGCTAACAGCTACATCAAAGGAACAAGCATGTGAAAAAGCTGCACTGTCAAGAAATTCAAAACTTCTTCTATAGCTGTGTTCAGCACTTGGTTGGGAAGAAGATGCTTTTAAAACAAAATACTTTTTTTTTTTTTTTCCACTCTCCTGAATTGATGCTAAATCCTAAAATGGGAGAAACTTTCTGGACCCTTTGCAAAATCAGAGATTTTCTTCTCATCCCCAGCCTGCAGCATGGCTCTTCAGAAGCACTGAACAAGTTATTCTTGCTTCTCTGCTGAAACAAACACTGGTCCTAATAGTATCAGTGCTCCTGCTCATGTGAAACTCCTGCTAGGCGCGTTGTTACGTGCCTGCAGTTTGGGGTGAGAGGAGGGAGGGGAGGGAAAGTGGCTTTCCCTAAGCAGAGGTATTGCTTGTTCTAGAGTCTCTGCTCATCTGAGAGCCACAGCACTCTGTGTCATGGGCCTGCCTTCAGGATTAGCTGCGCTCTGTGACCCACAGGAAGCCTTTCTCTCTGCAAGCCAGGAAGCTTCCTCCTGGAGATGTTTGGGCTCCATTTAAAAGCTGGTGCCTTTATCAGTATGTGCTGCCTGTCCTAACCTGTCTCAAAGGAGCATTCAGCAGGCTTTCCCAGGCAGTCCGGCTGGGAGATATGCTCAGCTATACTGTTTCCCAGCCAAGTTCTTGGGAATGTGTAGCTTCCAACTGCCACCTGCCTCTTGTCCTGAACTGATGAACTCTTGAATTTCACAGGGAGCTGTGTTGCCACCGCTGTGGGACCACAGTTGGCCAGTAAAGTCTGGAGAGGTGAATGTGTGGCTGTGATGATTGTAGAGGTGTCTTCACCTCTGCAGCCCCATGCCCAGGGGAAGGTATCCAGCATTTTCTGGTGTTAGTACAGATATCTGTAGAAGCCTGTTGGATGAAATGGGAATTAGTTTAAACCTAGAAGGAACTGCTTCTCTTGACTTCTGAATATATTTTGCCCAATTACTTTGTAGTGAGCATAAAGACTCTAGAGTAAAATACATCAGTTCTCAGAGGACCAGTATTTACCACAAGGGTATCAGAGACCAGACCTGCCGGTGTCCAGAGTCTCTTTAATGACATGGGATTAGCAGTGGCCTGCCTCTGAACAGCTCAAGACCCCCTGTATTCTCAGTTTATTTTTCTGTCTTTGTCCACTTTCTTTGGTTTTGGAAATCCTCAAACTGTTCTGCTGTGCTTCTGTTTCCTGTGGCAGCCCCTGCAGTGAGCTCACCTGAGGGGACACAGCATCTCACCTGAGGATCTGTGATCTGGCTGGCTTGGAGTGATACTTCTCAGTTTGTTCTTTCCTTTGGCATCAGTTTCCCAGCAGCTTGATAGAAAGCAAGGAGTACTCTGGTTGGAGAAACTCAAAACAGCTTGACTGCTCACCTGCGAGGACAAGCCTTGTATCGCTCAGCGTCCCTGAGGCACAGCAGTATCTGTCATCTTCAGAAATATCCTACAAGCAGAGATACATTTGCTGTCAGAATCTGTGATGCTCACTGGGGTTTAAGACTAGCCAGCCGGAGAGGCAGCTGCATGCCTGTGGTAGGGGTGATCAGCATGTGTAGCAAGGAAGGGCGCAGCCATCTCAGCCTGGGTGACCAGGATGGGCCCTAGGTAGGGTGTGAGAATGGCATGAGAACCTCTGCCTTAGTGCATAGAGGAGGCACAGACATGCAGATGTACAAGCTGTACATCAGCTACTCACTAGTGGTTGCCCATAAGTAG